CAGGAACTTGGACATGTTAGTTGTGGAAATCTCTGCTTTCTACAGTGTTGGAGAACTGCTGACATAGGCCAAGTAATCCCTATCCCTTGGCAGTATTAGCTGGATCATTAGGAAAAAGAAACAAAGTGGAAGCTGGGTGTTGTCTTTCAAGTGAAGAAAGCTGTAGAATTGATGTAATGTTTGACTTTTACATGAGGCATTCATAGCATCTCCTCCATGGAGAGGCAGCAGAGGTTCCAGAACCAGTATTTATTCCCAGAACATCACTGCAATTTTCAACATTCAACACTGCAAACAAATCCAACATTTGTGCAGTAGCTATGAATCTCATATTTTGCCTTTATGCTGTTCTGTAGTCACTACTAAAATTGCATATAACTGGATGGTCACAGACCTGCAGCAGCCGCTCCGACACTCACACACTAGCAGGCTCTCAGGAGCCCATGCACTTTCCTGGCATGGCATTTCACACGATGGGGACTTCGCAGGGCAAGGAAATCTGCAGCCTGAACACTTGCATTACTAGACTGAGGCTGGAAAAGAGTGGGAGCTACTACTGTTCCCTAACAGAAACTGAAATGTCATCTTTATGTTCTAATAAGTATTAAAAACTGATACTAAAAAATATCACAAACTTTTCTGCACCAAAAAAATGCAAAACACTCTATCCAGCTTCTACCATGCTATGCCAGTGTGTGCTGTATATAAAATACCAAGCACAGAGCTGCAGATGATCCTTGCAAGTATGTGCTAGACCTAACAAACTATAATTGGATGTAGCTGTGAAAGGGTACATGGACATCATGGGTGACTGGAGTTAAAGTTGTTAGAGAAGTTATGAAATGGCACCCACAGCTAGTCCCAGGAACAGTAATGGCTCTGTATGGCTGCTTAACCTGCAAGCCTTTACTAAGCAGAAGATTGCTGGATAAAAAGAAGAGTGTATTTCATCTTTTCAGGAATAATCTGAAGGAGAAAAGATCAGAATGTTTAAAAAAATTAAGCTGCCCCTGGAATGTCTAGCATACTTCAATGAAAGACACTGAGCTGCTTAGAGTAACTGAAACAAATGGGTAGAAACAAATAGGTACAATTTTCATTCCTTACTAATATTAAGATTTTGTTTTGACCAGTGACTATGTAAAGAGTAAGGATTACTACAGACAAATAGATTCATCATAAGACTGGAAGTTATCATCAAGAGTATAATTATGATTATTAAATCCACTGCATGGAGCAAAGGGTGTAATAGATGAACAAGACAAACACAGGATGTCAAAAGCATTATTGACATTTGTCCCCAGCATTGAATCAAGAGCTGAAGTTTCTGGCCTCAACTGGGTGATTCTTGTCAATTTTTAAATCACAGCACCCTATATACAGTTTCTCTTAACACATGTAGACGGTTAACAGTTTTTGAATGCAGTTTCGACAGGTATAAAAGAAATCCAGTTCTTTCTCAGATATATGTTGAATTTATGTTCATGCATTTCCTATTAAAACATTTGTTCGATACTGGTCTATTTATAAGGCAAATTGCAAATTTTCTAGAAAGTTGCAGGAACACTAACTTACTCAAGGTAACATACAAAAAAGATACATATTTCTGTAAAAGATTTGTTAGAAAGAAGCTAATACTGCTCTATTCTCACTGTAAACAGGACCCACACCAGTTCATTTTAGCTTTATGAGCTTCTAACTGAAAGTCATCTTACTGGATCACATTTCTAAATGTCATCCTTCCTGTCTTTACCTGGATCATATGCGGGAAGAAAATGGTTGCCTGTTTTCTTCCTTCTCCTTCAGTTTTACTGTTGTGACCTATAGTTCAGTAATTCATACCAGAATACCATTCTCTGTTCAAATCAAAAAGAAAAGTAGGTTTTGTACTTTAGACGGATGTCATATCTTAGAAATATAAGAACATTGTTGTTAGAAAAATTTCTGTAGATCAGATGAGCCTTTATTGAAAAGTATAAGGAAAATACTGTTGCTTTTGTGTATGTTGCAGTCAGTCATTCTGGTACAGAAATAAAGAATGGACAAGTGATTGCATTTGAGAAACATTAAAAAATAAGAAAATATTCCAATCCCAAGAAAGTTACTTTCAGAGAAGTTTATTAAGGGATTTACTAGTTCAGTGTATCAACTTTTATACTACTGACTAGGCAAGAGTTAAGACAGTAGATCTAAACTCCATATGAAGAAGAGTCTGTGCCTGGTTTTTCTGCAGATTGTAAAAGTATTCACAAAAGCTACTTTGTTACCTACATCACCTTTATGTATTTATAAATAAGACACGAGAAAGGTGATGAATTTGAAACCTGATTTTTGATGTTAGATCTCATTTACTTAATACCGTATTAATTTTATTCAATCTAAAGCATGTTTATTGCTAAGTAACATCAATTATTTGATAATGAGACAGTATAGTTGTAGTTTTTGTGACGGGAGTGAAGAGGTACACTACTCTTCACATTAATCTGGCAGTTTTATGTTATGGTTTTATTTTTAAATGGAACATACACAGTGCTCTCCTCAAGCACAGTTACCTTGTTTTTGGAGGATCTGACATGCAACATACCTTGGGAATCTTTTAATACTGGCAGGCTCAGCAAGTACTCCATGCAGCTTTTCTCCATGATAAGAATAGCTGTGGGAAGGTTGAAGAGTATAAAGAGGAAAAAGAAAAAACTATCTGCACTTCAAAGATTCCCTTCAGATGAAGCAGATAGAAAATCCACATAGATTATTGCTGCAGCTGTATGTGAAATTAAAAGTTGCCATCTCCAATATATGCATTTGCCTGAAGTATTCTCTACGTTTACATATTATAGGGCGGACTCAGCTGTAAAGACATACTGCTTTTTTTCTTTAGTCTGAAAGTGTTAGAACTTTAAACTTGGGGTCTGTTAATACTGAGATCACATTTACAGTCCAAAGAATTATGTGTCCAGCATGTAGCAATCTTGATTATATTCCAGTCAGGATGTGGGAAAGATGCTATTAGAAACAAAACAATCAATTCACTTAGATGGTCCCACAAACATGCTTTATGGCATCTGCCTCCTACTCATTTTGAGTGAGGTTTTATAGTGACACATTGGTGCAGATTAGTACACAACTGCAGGCAGATGCCCATGACTGATTCAATTGTTTGCACTGACACTCACAATTGCTGTAATTGCAACTGAAGTGATACAAGCCATTGCAAAAAACAAAGTGAAACCAACATTGTTCCTCAGAGATTTTATTAGTTGAAACCCAGAAATGCACAATCCACTGTTTTTTCTTTGTATGAATTCACCACAGCATTTCTGTTTGCTAGGCCTGCAATACAGTCCTCATTGATTTACCATAAGCAGATTCAAAAGGCCTCTTTAAGACCAGAACTTGTACATAAAGGCAATACACTCCAGCCTCACTTGTTTTAAAAACATTTCTTTTCAAGAAAAGTGATTAAAAGGTAAAGCAGCAAATAACTTCTAGAAAATGAGTAAGAACTTAAAGTGATCCTAAATAAAGAGTATTTCTAAGCTCTAGCTTTCCTGTGTGCTCCAACCATAGCTTCCACTGTTCCTTTCCTTTGTTCTTCCCACAACCATTTGACATCATTAATGTCCAAAGCTGGTATTTCTGAAGAGGGTGACCATCTTCTACAGCCTCTGGAGAAAGAGAAAATGGATGTTTAGAACTAGGCAGTATCCAAAACCTTCCCAAGAAGAGACTACCTTGTAGCTTGCCAAGCAAGTTCTCACACAGTACTGAAGACTTCCTTCAGACTGCCTACACTACTGGTGGCTCAGTCTAAAAGGAATTAAAAGATGATCCATGAAGAAGTTGAGGGTTTAACATATTCACTTCATGTTTAACATACGGCAAGGTAGTCATGGATGCAGCAAAAACCTTAACAAATTGTAATGTTAATTTTATTAACTAACGGAGATCATCTCCCCCCAATATTTAAATTGGGATTAGACTTGCCAATATATTGAAGAAAAAATACCTAAATCAACAACATGTTGCATCAGAAAGGAGTTCTGAGAAACAAAAGGCAAGTGTTTTACATGTCTCCAGTAGCAGCACAGCACAGCACTGGAGAAGGTCAAATGCCCAGACAAGTTTCCCATAGAGAGACTTGTCAGATCTGATGCTTTGAACACGAGGCTCACACCCGCCCCACATGCACACAAGCTAGGGAAACACACCTTATATGTTAGCAGCACAAAAGAGACTCATGCTGCAAGTCTGTGTCAGAGACAACCAGACAGCTACATCTAGGGTCTGGGTAAGATAGAGGGCATAGCAGTGCCCTGTTCTGTGCTGGGAGGGGGAGGAACCCCACGGCAGAGCTCTCTGCTGAAAGAGAGTCTTCTGCAGTCTGTGCATGTAGCACAACTACCTTCTGTCATCAAGAATCTGCCCCACGTTTCTCATGGTGGTTGACTATATTACACTAGAAGATGAGCTGGTATATGGCACTCCATTAGAAGCTAGAGGGAGAGCACGAGTGGAAATGCTGTAGATACTGCAACAGCAATTCCTGAGTGGGAAGCTGTGAAGCCAAATGGCCATGATCACCTCGCAGCTCTAATGGAGAAGGGGATGCTCCTGGGCTGGGGGCACGGCACGTCAAAAACCAGGCCTGGCAAAGTGTCCAATAAAAGGTATTTCCTCTCTAATGCAGGCAAGTCAACAGGCCAATGGAACAAGACTGTTGCCCTTAGTAGTTTTATTTTGTTAGCTTTTACGTTCCAAACCAAGTTCAGAACCACACTGTGGAACGCACCACAAGAGAGCACTTCCAGGCTTCGGCAGAAAGAGGAATAAACATTAGCCCCACGCTACAAAGAAGGATTAAAGTAATCAGAGATGTATCAGAAGCTAAGGCAGGAACAGCAGCTGAACCAGCCCCAGGGTGAACTAGGGCTTAAATACAAAATCCTACTTCATACATGTATATGCTCATCTGTGCATTTGAAAACAAGATCTTACCTTCTTTACTGTTTTTGTCTTAAGAAGTCAAGAACCTCCTTATGCCCTGTAGCCTCTGCCTGTAAGTAGAAAGATGAATAAATCTTGCCATCCTGTGCACCAGGACATGCAAATACTTACTTGTGGGAAGTAAGAATATGTTACCACAAAATAATTAAAATCAAATTTAAATTTTAATTCCTCTGACATAGATGAGAAAATTCTGGCTCCAACAATTTATTACTTCAGAACAGCATCAGATTTGAGTTTGTAACAAACTCTAATCCGCTTTATAGTCCACAAAGCAGTATTCCCTTATCCCAAACTACTATTATCCGACAGCGTGTGTTATTACTCACACAGCTAGCACACGATACAGAGGTACAGCCATATGCACACTTACTACTTGTAGGGGATTCCTGCCATCATAACCAGTTTGCTTCAGGTCTGCACCAGCTAGGTACCAGGCAAACAGGCCATCCACATCGCCTTTCGCTGTAAGGCTGGAAAAAGAATGTTAATACTGGTTCTAAATATTTCGGTGTGCTCCTGGGTCCTGTCACTTAGCTCAGCAGGCAAAAGCTGAGCCTGAACAGGCTCAACATGGCTGCCAGAGTAGAGAGGTAAGCAAAGGAACACTATTACAACAGGTTTGAATAGCTGAGCAAGCAACACAGCATGATGAATCAGTTCCTTAAATTAATAGGGCTGTGCTATAAGTACTTACAACAGGCTGGTTTCACATAGTGGGTGTGACTATGACCAAAGGGGAAAAAAAAGTCACGTAGTTTCATATTTCACAACACAATATTTATCTCACGAAATGAGTTGGGGGGAGGGCAATGGGTAAATCAAGATGCAGCTAAGTGAGAGCACAAGCAGATGTGCTAGCAATCAGCATGCCTTATATAAAACCACTAGAAACCCCCTCGCAAGTTTGCCTAACTGTTTGCTGTCAGAAGTTAGGACAGGACATTTACATGATCTCATTTGGACAGTAACACAGCAATATGTTTTGAGATTTATAAGATAATTTGTAACATTTAAATGGCCAAGTAAAAAAAAAAAAAAGCTTTTTAAAGATGACCTCTATATGCCATCATGTATAATGAGCAGTAGAAAGGATCAAAATTAATCACATAATGTACACCAGATTGTTTCTTCACACATCTGCTGGTAGTCTCATGAATAATATTTAAGGTTCATTTTGAACTTCTATTTGGTAAAAGAACGGCTAACAGCCTGTACATATGCAGAGCATGACAGTCTGTACCAAGCCTGTAGACAGGCTGAACCGAGAGCAAGACTGGGGGGACTACATTCAGTTTTCTCAAGACACAACATCTGTCAGGCTGCAGACCTGAGCTTGCTTTGTGCTTGCACGTTGTTTCAGCAGAACCATAATCAAGTGAGGTTGAATCTCATTAAGAGAGGGGGAATCCTCCCCAGACTTACAAAGTTCAGAGTTTGCTGCCTTAAACAGTGCTCGCTCTGGGGGAAAGGCATACTGCTGGCAGCAGGGATGGAGGATGGTGATGAACTCCTGACAACCAAGCCAGGCAGACCTGGTGGACAGTGAAGAAGGCTGGAAGATGCAAGGGCAGACAGTCAGCTAAGCTTATGAAAGAAACTGTGAAAGCAGGGCTGCAACATTAATTTCTCTGCTAGGCTGAAATCACTTCTGCTGTTGATTAAGTCTCTTAAGTACCTGAAAAAAATGTTTTCAGGGGTATATAAGCGGAGAAAGTCAGAAGTTTTTCTTTGCAGCAGTCCAGAGGCTGGGCATGGAAAGGGAAAGCAAACAGGCTCTGCTGTGTTCTTCTGCAATCCCACCAACCCTGAGTCAGAGCAGAAGATCTACAGCCAGGGTCTTTGGAGAACAGGGAAGTGGCAGTTGGGTGCTATGAGATTTAACAGTGCTTCAGTCTGACATCATGAAGAAAAGGATCAATAAATCCTTAATGAAAACTGACATCACAAAAAAAGGCCGCTAGAAGCAATAAGGAAACAAAACCAGGCAAAGGAATTCTAACAGGAAGATCAGTGGGAAGTCCTTAAGGAAGCTGCAGGGAAAAGTAAGCATTAATAAAGAAAAAGCATAAGCATTAGTAAAGCAAAGAAGAAACTGCTTAGCAGCCACTTCTGAGCACAAGAATTATCTTCACATACAAAGACAAGTCTCTTGCTATTAACACTGGAAGGTCCCAGAATTAAGGTACAAACAAACAAAAAGCCTACCTACCACGAGAGTTACAACCATCTCCAGCACTGGACAGGAAAGAACTGTATATGCCAAACAGAATCTCATCATTCAGCCAGGTGCAAAGCAGAAACCACTGGGCGAAGACCAGCACAGTTAGAAATATTACCAACCTACATAGCCAGGCAGTTCAGCTAGAATCACTGTAAGCAACAAAACGACTACTGCACTTACTGAAAATTAACTGCCTAATAGCTCCTGTTCAGAAAAGGCAATTTAACCCACATTGCCAGAGGTCAAAACTGTGATCTCCTGTGACATTAGAACAATCCAAATACACAGAACTATCTTCAATTTTGCAGCAGCCATTTACTGATCAAGTGGGAAATGTATTCTATGGGGACTGTGACCCAGAGAACAAAAAGCAATGTAGCTTGTGAGAAAATTTATATAGCACTCTAAACAAAAGATTCCTACCATTCACTAAATTGATTATAATCAAGAACACCACAGAAGATTTTCTCCAATTTCAGATCTCCATAGTCAAGCCATACACATCTGTATTTCCTTTACACACTGTAAGTGTACTTCATATAGTCAAATATATACATAGGACTTCTCAACATACGCTATAGGGACCTTTGCTATGTGTTTTTTTTCAGGTATTTATGCCAGCAATTCCAACTACAAGTGCATCTTCAAAGCAGCAAGTCCATCATTTTTATATCATGAAATGGAAAAAAAACAACTCCAATATTCACTTATCAGGATGTTTAAAACCTGCTTTGTGGACAAAGCACTACCTCACACATTTTACTAAACTCTGACTGATACCTTTTACAGTAGATAATTACCAGGGATGCTGCCTATCAATACTCTTGCATTTAGGAAAAATTATTATGTACCCATTTCAGTTTCAGCACAGCTAATGCAGCCATGACGATGAGGGAGCTAAGATGTCAAGAACAGTGATGATGCAATTATACTCTCTGATTTTGTGCCTCATGTCACACTGGCACCAAGCAAACTCAGTTACAGAAGCTGCTGTTTAAGGGGTGCTTTGTGACTGTCAGGGTACTAAGGCAAAGCTTCTCAGGCCTCAGAGGGTTTAGAAGGACAAGGGCCAATGCAGTTCTTGATCTGGGAAGCAATGAGTACTGTGAAAAGACACCTTGGGGTTCCCTCCTGCCTCCTCAGGTACTAGGATTTCATCTTTCCCAGAGACACAAAGCTCTGATTTTTCAGCCATTCTCCTTTTTCAGTGTCTATATGAAACGATCAGGAAATACTTTTGCTGGGGAGTGGGGTGGGTGTATCATCACCCTGACAGAAGAGAAAATAATTCCTCCTCCCCTTTATTTTAATTAAAATCCTGAAAGGCAAATTAAAAGTCCAGCACAAGGCATGGTTTGTTCCATCCTGAACACATTTGGGCTTGCTGCCCTTAGCTAGTATCTCCACATCTCAGTTAAGAAAAACAGACTTACTTGAAAGATAGCAGGCATTAGAAGCTTGGTCCTAATTCCTGCAGAGGGTTATTTATCCTTCCTTCTCCAGCCTTACTGCCTAAGTTTATGTTAAATTGAAGAAGCATCTTATTCTGAAAGTTGCTGATTTTGAAAGGCTGTAACCTTGCATATTATATCATATCATTTTATGAAATCTAAGAATATCAAAGAGTAAGCTAGTTTGGCTTTATGCCCCTATTTAATTTTGTGAAGTACAGACTTGAACAGAGTATCTCACTTCTATACAAGCTTTTTTTCTTTAAAAAACAAACACAAAGAAACTGTTTACCAACTCCAGAACTCAACAAGCCTTCAGAATAAGTCTGAGTGTCCCAATTTATCTCGTCATGGTTTGGTTTTGCAGATGACAGTAACACTGCAATATGAGAAGAGATTCTGACATTTTTAACAGATTACTATCATTGAGATCTCTTTTTTATTTCAAAACAAAGCCATGAATCAGATACCAAACATCAACAAAGTAACTCTAAAAATCAAACTAGCATCTCTCCTTAAAAAAAGAAACTGGCAAATGAAACCATGGAAGATTTAATAACTAGATCATCATGGCTGCACCTGTGTGCATCCCCATTTCCTACACAAGAGTTCCCACTAACACTGTCCAACTTTCAGTTCTGGTTGTTACTCCTTTCCCTCTCAAACATCACCAAATCCAATGAAGCACATTTATGTTTATTTAATCTCCAAAATCTTCCAACTGAACTATTCTATTCTAAAATTATAAGTCTAAGTAGAAGGAAGCCGAGACAGTATTAGAACACAAAAATCACCGTTTATAGTCTTTTATGAAAGCCAGTTTGTTTCAGAATGGGCAAGTAGCAACAGAGGGAAGATGTCTTAAAGGACTTGTTCTATGAGCAGCTTGACCATGTGAACATGTTGACTGCCATGAAGGTGCAAGTGCCTGCAAGGAGAAGGCTTAAAAGGAGGAGGTAAGAGAAGCGCGCCTTAGCATGCTGGAAAAATGAGTGTATCAGTAAGGTCATCTGAGGATAATCCAGAAGACACATCTGAGACATTTTGTGAGGAGGACAAACACCAGCACCTCAGATTTAATAACTTCTAGGCATCTGGGTAACGCTCTGTGGAAAAGTCCACTTTGGTACAAAAGATTACCAGGCCCTCTAAAACACCAAGAGGAAAGAAAACCCTTCAGCAGGGGAAAGCCACTATCCACAGACACTTCAGTGCCGTCTCGAAGCCTGACCACTGCCTCAGGCTGGCTGTGCTCCTGGTGTAGCCCATGCAGTGATGTCTGTCAGTGGGCATGCCTCTGGCCACAGCCACTACTTCAGCTGCCATCAGGGAGAGAGCCAAGACACTGGCTCCTGACCCACACCGAGGTGGGAGAGCCTCTTCCCTCTCACCCTGAGTACAGTTCTCTGTGCTGAGTCCTTGTTCAGCCTCTGCACACATGTGCACTCCCACCTTCTGTTCAGAAGCTTTGAACAACACGGGATAGTGCAATACAGATGCAGCATGTACGATATTCCCTAAAATGCTGTAGCAAACTGTATTAAAACCATATTTTGTTGAAAGGATCCTTGTTTTCTGGGCACATTACTCCCAGGTCAGCTGGCTAAACTGGTTCTGCATGTGGCACTAGGGCTAAGTAAGGGGCCAGTTTATTTGCAGAGGAATGTCACTCGCTAAGCCATTCCTCTTGTCACCTTGGCAGATGGAAGCTATGCAAACCAAGGGTTTAATTCTGTTCTATCACTTGCAGTGCCTTGAGAAGCATGGATTTTAACTTCATGTCAAGTCCTGATATGAAGGTGCTCTGGAGTTTGTTTGTTTTTGAGAAGAAAAGAAGAAATGAAGTAAAAAGTGTAAGTAATTTTAGGAAATACATGAAACCTTCACAAAATTTTCAGAGTGATTTGTAATTCAGAACTAATACCAGAAAAAATAAAATCAAGCATCTATTTCTTTTCATAATATATATCCGTAGCATTAAATTATCTTATATATTAAAAGCAACTGTATGGAAAAACAGCTTTAACAGGGGATTATATCCTCTTAAATTAAATATAGAGACAGTGAGCGGTTGTTGAGAAACATTGGGGTTAAACCTATTTGTCTATTTTATTCAGTTATTTTTAAGAACAATATTATATAACAGTTAAGAGTAGAAGCCATTCCCACATAAGTGAAAAATGGATTTTAAGGAAATAAAAATTATGCACTATGTGCAGCTTTATTCTCCAATGGGATGCTATTAAATCACACCTTGTGATTTAAGCAGATCGCTGCTCGGGTCGGGCTGGGTATCGGTCGGCGGGTGGTGAGCGGTTGTGTCCTTTTCCCTTGTTATTCCTCTTATCATTATTATTGGTAGCAGTAGTGGTTTGTATTATACCTTAGTTACTGGAGAGCTGTTATCTCAACTCGTGGGAGTTACATTCCTTCGATTCTCCTCCCCATCCCTCCGGGAGCGGGGGGAGGAAGGAAAAGGGGGGGAGTGAGCGATTGCCGTCTGGGCGTGAACCACGACAGTTTCTTTTGGCAGGTCCTCTTTACCCTTCCTCAGTGAAAGTGCCTGGAAACAACTGGGCATATTTGCTTCCAGTTCACGTATCCCCACAATACCTCTTACTTTGGAGCTCTCTTGAGTTACTGGTGCTCCGACGCAGAGTTGATTAATTCATCATTTTACTTGCTTCCTCTAGTCTAGCACAGAAATAGCCACATCATGTGCCAGGGACCCAACTGTTTCTTAGAAGTGTCTACATACTGTTCTCCATTCTGAGAGTCTCTTTTGAAAAATCATCCCATTCCATCTCATCCCAGTTTTAGGGCCACCTCCTCTTGTATTACATTTACCTGCAAAGTATTGTTCCAATGTTCTCCAAGTCCTGGCTTGAAAGGTGTGCTCCCGTTTCTCGTAACAAATTAATCACTTGTATGTGCCTTTATGATAGGAATAGAAAAAACAGAGTGTCTTGACCAGTAAGTTTTTTCCCTCCTAAATCCAGCATTACCCAAATACACAAACAGTAAAATTTCTTCTATGATATTTGCCACAATCACTGAACCAATGAATCTTCTCCAAGGTAGCAGATGTAGTAAACAGAGCTGCCTCCCAGTCAAAAAATCATTCACATAACTAAGCTCATGGAAGTGTTAAGTTCAGCTCTGAAAATGAAAGGGATGCATCCTCTTCTCTTCAGAGGATTTTTATTTTCTCTACCTTGGTGCTAGCTTAATTTAACACTTGAAATATTAGTAATTGACATACATGCAAACAGTGAGGACATTTATTACATAGCATCATTCCTGTATTTTACAGAATACAATGCCCATATATACCAGTTTTGAATAAAATGAACGTGTTACAGATAAGCAATGAACCTTCAGATTAATGTAGTAGCTAATCAGGTTTTTAGGGCTTAAAAATTATAGTGAGTATTCTTAGAAACCTCCCACAAAAGCATCTTTTCCTAACCTCCTCCTCCCAAGACCTTTTCCACTTGGAGTCTTTAGGAAATCTTCCTTGTCCATTCCTTTGAGATAAAGGTACAAATGGATATTTAAGCACTACCAGCCAACTCCTGTATCTTAGTCAGGTGACTGAGGAAGTCTATGAAAAAGGTTGGTCTCTAAAGATACTACTGTGAATAGGAAATACCATGACAGGTGACAAACGCGCAAAACACGTTTTTCACAACTGACCCAGTGCAAGGTTTGAAAAGGAGGTGGCAGTGAGCTTCTCTGCGGAACAAATGATCTACTCTACAAATCCAAACCCCTTTTTTTTTTTTTTCTCCAC